CCTCGTTCCGTCAGGCAGCAGCTGCTCTTGGCAAGCATGGGTTGTCACGGCGAGGACGTCCTGCGCGCAACCACACAAATGCAGAGTTCAACGTGCTCCTGGCCGAGGCCCGAAAGTACAGGGACGAGTTCCTGGAGCAGCACCACGTCAAGCCCGCCAGCAGTGAGTCGTGCTGCCTTGCCGCCCATTCCTCGCTTGCACCCGCTGCCGTGCCCCGTGCCCGCTCTCCAAGTGTCCAGCCATGTGGCCACGGCATCCCTTCCTGTCACGCCTCGCCCCTCCATGCCTCCACTTCCCTCCCGACATCCCGCCAACCTCACATCCACCCTCCCTCCCTCCCTGCCCCTGCAGCGTACTTGTACAACATCACGGCGGCAATACACGAAGGCGACATGCCGGACCGTGCGACCGCGACGCATGCGGAGGTCATGCAGCTATGGATCGCGGCTGCCGGCAGCCTGCGAGCTGATACCGCAATAGAGCTTATTTATGACTACGGCATGGACGCGGGCACCGTCCTCAAGACGGACCAGGACTTCGCGCGCTCGGTGCTGACGGCCGCGCAGCAGGCGCGAGCGTCGGGCGCCCTCCTGACCACAACCACGCCAGCCAAGCGAGCCGCAAGCAGCCCCGCCGAGCCAGATTCCAGTGCCTCCCCCCGCACGTGACTGTATACCATCACGTGCGCTCCCACCGGCAGAGTGTATGTCGGCCAGTCCCGGGACCCTCAACGTCGCTTCCAGGCTCATGCCCGCAACCCACCCAGCCGGATGAAGGAGGACGCCAGCCGCTACCAACCCTTCCATGACCACTTCTCGCTCACGCGCCTCATGTCCACCGCCAATCCTGCACTGGCCCAACGGATGGAGGCCTTCTACATCGCGCAGTTCAAGGCTCGGGGGCCAGGCGGCTACAATGTGCTGTGCGGGCCGCCTTCCGCCAGCCCGGCCTTCTACGCGATGAGGCGGCAACGCGCGGGCAGCGCCCACACGCCCACCGCCGTCACAGCCCAAGACAATGATGATGACGCCCCAGACACGCTCGCCTAGCCCACACAGCACC